CGTTAATTGATACTGCGGCTTTTAATCCGGTGCGGCTTTTGGTCGTGAAAATACGGTACTTTATGAATTGGACAATAATTAAGAGCTCTTTTAGAATAGTAAATTCTACAAGGTTATTGTTAGCTTGAAGGGGTGGCTAAAACTCATTTGAAATTTGCTTCCTATATTAAATAATCTACCCATTAAATTTTTGGGTAGTATATATTCTCCTTTCCTTATATTATTTAGCCCTCTCAGATTATTCCTTATCCTGATATTCTGATAATGCAATTATTTGGCTATTTACTAAAATGAATTTTGATCTAATTTTTTTAAAACTCAGTACCATAATTGACACTATTTGTCATTTGAGACCATTTTGGAAGAGGGGAAGGGAAGCTCCTAGATTAATACTTAGAAACAGTCAGTCTGTCTGAAAGGCAGGTAAATGCAAATGGTAGAAGCATCAATTTCCTAATAACTGAATAAAATGGGTGTTGGGAATAGGCATTTGTATTGATTTTAAATACAGTGGTGAAGTTCTTGCTTATACAGGATCCCATAAGTGCCTTCTTCCTCTGTTGATAGAAATAGGCAAAAGCATAACTCACCTTTCTTGTTCAGTCCTAGCTCAATTCTTTATTGAGGAAGATAATACAGGCTCCTGTAGCTGTTAATCTTTGTGATCAAGAAGTGAGGTTAAGCCAAATTCCTCTATCACGAGGTTCTTCCTAAAAGAGAAGGAGTATAAAACTTCTCATATTATTTTGTCCAAATTCTCAGCTCTTTTTTGTAGCAGCTCATAATGATTCTTATGGTTTCTTATCCAAGTATTGCTCTCGGCAGAGCTGACTTGCTATTAAATTCAAATGCTTGATCTATAGTTATGTATGTAACTAGATCTACATGGAAGGGCAACTTATAGTTTGGCAAATGTTACTGAACTACAACTTTCAAGCCTTCCTCACCATTGGTCATATTGATAATACAAATTCCCCATCCATGATGAGTAGCTATTTTCTATATGTAAAGCTACCATATCTGGACTCCAAAAATGGTGGCAGCAAAGAGTTACAGAAAATGCTAACTATGTGCTACCATCTAGTGGTCATCTTAATTTTTGCCGTTCGAATATGATAGTCCTAGTGTAAGGATTACCTCACAATTTCTTTTTGATGGGATCAACTTTCCAAATGTATAGTCAAAAGAAGGAAGAGACTGTTAAACCTAAAGGTTTGTGCTAGAAAACTGGGAAAGTCTCCATTGGCCATGGAGTAATGGCTAACTGAATTCCTTGTTTCCCTAATTACTAGCATCCTGTACTCTTGACGGAAGCGCCACTGAATCCTCGTAAGAACCGTGAACGAGCAGCTGAGGTTTTCTTTGAGACTTTCAATGTGCCAGCTCTATTCATCTCTATGCAAGCTGTGCTTAGTCTGTAAGTATCTTACCTATACATTTTTTTAAGCTCAACCTGGAAGAGAAACTAATTTTTGCAATTTATTGCATTACTTTGTATATGGAATGATCAAGGAGATTTTCTACATGTACACACAAGTAGACCTTTGTTCATTGAGACTTATTTCTAACTAAATAGGCACCTTGATTTTTAAAAAAGATTTCCTGTTACTGTTTACTGTTTATTAAATTTATAGGCCGCCCAATCCCGGAGGACTCCGGGCGGCTTACAGAAACAAAATTAGGAAGATTAAAAACAAATAAAAATCCTCAAGGATGTCTACCTTGACAATTAAATGAAGATATTTATACCATAGGCAAACACAGAAGCAGCAGTAAAAATCCACTCTGTTGGTACAGTACATATATAGAGTGGTTTTTTATTGCTGCTTCCATATAAATTCTGAAGAATTGGCCCAATGCCACATTTTTTCATAATGAATTTACAATCTTACCTTCCTCTGTTTTAATTTGGTGATAATTGATGTATCATTACATCAATATTACATTATTGATGTAGTAATACCTCAGTTATTATAACTGTTTTTCTTTCATAAAGATTGCTGTTTAGTTATTCTTAGGTACATTAAAATAGAATTATGCTGGGGGAATTGCCAGCTTGGAAGTGTTACAGATTATCCATCAAATATTATTGATTTTCTCCTTTCTGTAGTTATGCAACAGGACGAACTACAGGGGTGGTGTTGGACTCTGGGGATGGGGTCACCCATGCAGTACCTATTTATGAAGGTTTTGCGATGCCCCACTCCATTATGCGAATTGACATAGCTGGCCGTGATGTCTCTCGTTTTCTTCGCCTCTATCTCCGAAAGGAAGGCTATGACTTCCATACATCTTCTGAATTTGAGATCGTCAAAACCATAAAAGAGGTGCATGGATGCCCTTTGTTTTTGATTCTGGGGTCTCTTCTGTTTTAAGGTACTGAGCAGAGGAGGGTGGATTAAGCAGTTACAGCTGATATATGTCGTAGCATTTGCTAATGTCTATCCAGATTACAAGAAAAGATGGGGAAACAAGCCTGTTTTAATTGCATCTGTGGTGCAGAACTGCTCTCTTTTGGCTCTTGAGTGCCATCTTCCCCTAGTTCTACTTTAATCTCAATCTAATCGGTATGTTCAGAGAAGTGGTATGATTACCGTCCTAATCCTTCTGTAATTGTGAACATTCAAATAGTGGACACAAAAATGCAGTTTTTAAAATTATCCCCCTTATCAAAAACCTTTGATGCTTAGAAAGCTATCACATCTAAAAAACAAATAGAATAATCTTACCTTGGCTTCTTGCATGTATATCTTTTCTTTTGTTTCAAAAAAAGGAAAACAGGGGAAGCCTTTAGACATTTCTGTAAATAACACTTTCTAAAAAGATTGTATTCCATTACATGTTCCTTTCAAATTACTAGCTGGTGTCTGATCCCAGATAACAAATTTAAAAATACACAACATAGCAAATATGCTAATCTTTGGGATCAAATTGCATTGTAATTTACATCAAATCAAGGACTTTATTTACCACTGGTAGATCAGTAGATTTATGGCTAATATGCAAGCTTCCACTGTCTGTATAACATTGGATCAGGGTCAGGGCTAGGGTTAGGTCAGAATGCCAAATTTGCTTAGCAGACAAGTAATAGGAACACCTTAGCAAGAAAAATCAGTTGGACAAAGCTGTTTGCCAGGTCTTGTTTGGGAAAGCTACCAGAGAGTTACAGTATATCCAGGATTCTTGGCCCTTCTGACTATAAACTTTCCTTATGTAGAAGGATTTCTGAGCTCTATAAAAGCCAAGGATAATAAAGTAGATATGCCTAATTCTTAATAATAGATACTTTATGTTGACATAAAAACTCAGTTTAACTACAACAATTGATGATTACATTACAGTGTGATACTTGAGAAAATGAGTGGAAAACAATTATTTGCTGAATGAGGCTATTTATATTGAAAACTCCATCTTATAGATTCATCTGTATTCCACAAAATAATGCCTACTGGAGAACTTTGCTAGTCTGGATTTTCTTTGAAGAACTTCTGGTTCTTAATAAATTTTCTAGAATTTATCATTTTTAGTCATCAAATGGTTAAGAATTTTATGACGTTGTTTTGATGGTGAGGCTCCTTCCATGTTAGAAGTGGGAATAAAAACAATACCGAAAGGCAAAAAACTAATGAATGACAGTACATGTGGAGCATCTGGGAGAAGATTGTTTTACGGTGGGCTGCTTGTTCAAATGTTCATGATTATTATCTTTGCTTGTCATTCTTCCACAGCGGGCTTGCTATCTGTCAATAAACCCTCAGAAGGATGAAACTTTAGAAACTGAAAAAGCTCAATATTACCTTCCTGATGGAAGCACCATTGAGGTTTGTTAAAACTTCACATAATTTAAATATTTCTTAAATAAATCATGGGGAAATGTTCGGAAGTGATACAGTACTTGATACTTTTGGTGTCAGTCATCGGACACAATCTTGGTAAGTCTGCCTAAGTCCTACTATGGAATCTTAAAATAGAGTAATTTATAAGCATGTCAGCTTATCACTACAATACTGAAGAGGAGGAGGTCTCTGCACTTCAAGTTCTGTTTAAGGGTCCTTTTAGATTAGACTACTGTGGTGGGAAAAAAGTCTTTGTATGATCGTAAGAATATTTGTGTGACAGTTTTTCAATCTAAGAAATAAGATTTCTTATATATGAACCAGAATCCTGACATTCTTGCTCTTTTTGCAGATTGGTCCTGCCCGATTCAGGGCTCCTGAATTACTGTTCCGTCCAGATCTGATTGGAGAAGAATGTGAGGGATTGCATGAAGTTCTGGTTTTTGCAGTTCAGAAGTCTGATATGGACTTAAGACGAACTCTCTTTTCCAACATTGTGCTTTCTGGAGGCTCCACGCTCTTCAAAGGTTCCTTCTGATGCTTATTTGACTTTATAAAGATGTGATGTTTGAACTTAACTTTAAACTTGTCCCCTCATCTTCTTTAAAGCTATTGAAAATAATATTAGCTCCTTGGGAGTAGATATTGGCAGCACTCCATATAATTCTTTTCCTGGAAGTAGGCAAAAATTGTTCCCAGAAAAATCTTCTTCCAGTCCTTTTGGAAGAACTGAAAGTCAGCAGGCTAGTTTCACATACCATTTCTGGGAAAATAGTCATAGCATTTCCTAATATGTCTCTTTTTTAATATTAATGAAATACAGTTTTTGTGTTCTTAAATGGTTTTTCCTATTCTATTATTTATCTGATCTGTCCTCAGCAGTCCCCAACCTTTCTGGCTCACAGACCAGCAATAGCAGTAATGGAGGTGGCAGCAGCAACTGGGAGGAGTTGATTTCGCATGCGCAACCTAGCTCCCGCCCATGCGCAAATAAAACTTCGCACACTTGCAAGCCTGGTTGCCAATGGACACAGCCTGGTTACCAAAGGGCCACAGATTGGTCCATGGCCCAGGGGTTAGGGACCATTGGTGTAGTTTATGTATTAATACATTTCATGTATTCCTTTATTATAGAGGAAGAAGATGTAGGTATTGTTTCAGCGATTGGTTGGTTGATTTTAGATTTGTTTTCAGGAAACCTTGATTATTTTATAATACCCTAGGTTGTTAACTCAAATTATTGCTTATATTTAATAGGTTTTGGTGATAGGCTTCTAAGTGAAGTAAAGAAACTGGCCCCTAAAGATGTCAAAATCAGGGTATGTAGAGCTTGTTTGGAGGCTGTAGCAGGGGAGCACAACATGTCCAGTGAAACATACTTTTGCATGTCATTCTTGTACCTGCCATTTTTAAATCCAATTTCAACTCTGTCTCAGTGTTGTAAAGTAGAACTTGTTCCATAACATATTTTAGACATAGTCGGTCCAAAGAGGCAAAATTAACTTCTGAATCTATTGTTCAAAAATTATCCCTTATTATGTCCAATGTTAAAATAGTTTGCATCATTTTGTATTTATAAATTAAGTTTGAGTCATCTCCTTTAATTGTAATCTTTAGTTTCTTCCAATACCCCCTCATGCCCATTTTCTAAAACTTATTTTATTTTATTTTTAAAAAACATTTAAAACAAACTCATTTCTTACTGGAAGAATTCTGTATAATTAAGTCCGAAATCTTATTTCAACTTTATCTGGAGTCTTATAGTCCATTTGCAATTTTCTAAAATCAAAGTTTTAATCACGCTTTTTGCTGTTTATTTTTTTTTTAAATTTAAGCTTGTAGTTCAAATGTGTTTAGCTAACAATTGATGGAAACTCATTCAGTGTTTTAAAATGTGTCAATCTAAAGATTCCCAATAGCTGAAAGGCAGTTGACAAGTAATTTCTGAAAGTGATTAAAAGAAAATATGTGAGCTTAGTGTCTTTTTTTTAAAAAAGTTTATAAATCTTTTTATTAAACATTCTTGAAAAGAAAAAAAAACACAAGTGTTTAGTTCCCACTCCCCGCCCAAACCCCACCAACCTTCCCCCTCCCCCCGACTTCCCAGAACCAATACAGGGTATAAATCTCTAGCAGAATCTAAAATACAGTTTAAGAAAAAAAAAAAACCCAAAAAAGATGGTGAACAACGTATTTCCATTGAACTAGCTCCTCCTTGCTGGACTAACTAATTATAATTCCTGATCTCTAATCACAAGCTATCTGGAGTTTCTTAGTCCCGTATTTATTTTGAGTATAATCAATCCATCTTTTTCACTCCAATTTATATCTCTCGTTTGAATGGTCTTAAGATATGCAGATATTTTGGCCATCTTGGCTAGGTTTGTTACTTTCAATGTCCATTCTTGAATAGTAGGCAAATCTTCCTTCTTCCAGTATTGCGCCACCAACAATCTAGCTGCAGTTATTAAATGCAAATTAATCTCTACAACTGTACAATCAGTAATTATGCCTAACAGAAATAACTGAGGGGTAAACTTTATCCTTTTTTTAAGA